AAAAGGGGGAGCTGGAAGGCCCTGAAGGCAGGAAAAAGGGAACCTCCATGGAGATAAAAACCCAGGATCTGTGGGAAACAACATCCAAATGCAAGAGCTATGGGAAAATCCCACTGCAATCCTGTGTCTTCCTACTGGAATCTCTGATGGAGCAGCAAAATGCAGGGATCAGAGTGACTCCCACTGCTCTGGAACATGTCCATGGCACCAATCCCAGGATCAGGATGGATTTTGGGATAATCCTTTGGTGCCTTCAGCCACCCCACAGCAGGATTCCCCTTGCCCTGGGAGGGTTTCACTCACTCCAGCCAGAGTTAGGAGGTTTTCCAGGGATTTGGACATCAGCAGGCACTTCTTGGCTCTGGTCACAGCCACGTAGAGAAGGTTCCACTCATCCTCAGGGGTCCTGCCTGGGAGGGAGGACAGAAAAATCCATGGATTTAGGGAGCAGGGATCAACAGCTCTGTGCTCCTCCAATGCTTCAGCAGAAACCTGGGACAGTGGGAAGTGTCCATGGCCATGGAATTGGATGGGATTTAAGGTCCCTTCCAAACCAGCCCATCCCAGGATTGCAGGTCTGCAAGGACAGTGGGGGTTTGGTTTCTCTGGAAAATCAGGAATTTGCAGCCCCTGTGTTTGCTGGGCAGCTCCCAAATTCCAGCCTCCAGGCAAAGGCAGGGCTCTGAACATGCCCAGAGAAAATTCCCCTTTTCCAGTTTGGAGCTTCCCAGTGCCTGGATTCCCTCTGCTCACTGGGAAGGGAGCAGCTCCCCCACAACAGGAGCCTCAGGGCAGCAGAGAATTCCCAAAGCTGGACTGGCCTTTGCTGCAGGAATATTTATGGAATGGGAGAATCCTTAGGGTTGGAAAAGGTGTTGCAGCAGGATGAGGAGGGAGAAGTTGTTTTCATGGGAAAAAAAATCAAATTTTTAATCTATTTTTAGAGCGCCTAAAAATAGGGAGGGCTCTAAAAATAGATACAAAAACTAGAAATAGGTACTTGACCTTTCTTTTCCTTATTCTGTTTGGACACAAACTCATGGAATCATGGAATTATTCAGGTTGGGAAAGGCTTCCAAGACATGGAAGGGTCACCCATGTCCCCAAAGTGCCACATCCCCAGGGCTTGGAAATCCAAACCTCCCTGGGCAGCTCTTCCAATGTCTCCCAACCTTTTCCATGGAGAAATTTTCCCTAAAATCCAATTTAAACCTTCCCCTGTTCCCAAATCCCTCCAAGAATTCGGGGAGTCGTGCAGAGCCACAAGGTTCCCTCCCGATCCCCCTTTTTTCTCCAGGCTGAATCCCCCCCTTTTTTCCCAGGTTTTGGGGTCCCCCTCACTCAGAGTCAGGTTGATCCTCCTCAGGAAAGCCCCAGTGGCAGAAGGGATTTGCACAAAATCGTCAGAGACACAAACGGTGTCGAATTCCAGGCCCTTGGCTTGGTGCACGGTCCCGATGAGGAAATCTGGGAAAAAAAAAAAAAAAAAAAGAAAAAAAGGAAAAAAGGGATCACTCTGGGCAGCAATTATGAGGGTTGGGTTTTGTTTTTGTTTTTTTTTTGTTTCATTTCATTTCATTCTTGAATCTCTTTTCACAAGTTGAAATCAGGAGCAAAGCTCCTCTCAGATATCAGGGAGATTCCTGGTTGGAATCCTGAATGTTCAGTTTTGGAGGAATTTTCTCTGCACAAATTCCAACAGGAATCCCAGAATGGTCAAGGGTTTCACATCCCACTTTTTTATCCTGATTTTTTTTCCCAGGATGAGATGATTGGAAAATGATCCCAGATTTTTCTCCAGGATGAGATGATTAAAAAATTATCCCCATTTTCCCCAGGATGAAATGACTGTAAAATTACAAAATTGTCCAGATTTTCCCCAAGATGAGATGACTGTAAAATTATCCTGATTATTTTCCAGGACACCATGACCATAAAATAATCCCAGATTTTCCCCAGGATGAGATGATTACAAAATTATCCTGATTTTTCCCCAGGACGACATGACTATAAAAATTATCCCAGATTTTCCCATGGATGAGATAATTAAAAAATTATCCCCATTTTTTTCAAGAATGAGATGATTACAAAATGATCCTGATTTTCCCCAGGATGAGGTGATTGGAAAATTATCCCCATTTTCCCCAGGAGGCCATGACCATAAAATAATCCAGATTTTCCCCAGGATGAGATGATTAGAAAATAATCCCAGATTTTCCCCAGGACACCATTACCATAAAATAATCCAGATTTTCCCCATGATACCACGACCATAAAATAATCCTGATTTTTTTTCCAGGACACCACGACCATAAAATAATCCAGATTTTTTTCCCCAGGACACCACAACCATAAAATAATCCTGATTTTTTTTTCCAGGACACCATGACCATAAAATAATCCCAGATTTTTTTTCCAGGACACCACGACCATAAAATAATCCTGATTTTTTTTCCAGGACACCATGACCATAAAATAATCCTGATTTTTTTTTCCAGGACACCACGACCATGAAATAATCCTGATTTTTTTTCCAGGACACCATGACCATAAAATAATCCTGATTTTTTTTTCCAGGACACCATGACCATGAAATAATCCCAAATTTCCTGTGCTCACCTGCCAGGCCCTGCTGGCCCACGTGGCAGCTCTGGATGCTGAGCAGCAGCTCAGGGATCCTGGCTTTGTATTTCTCCACAATGCAGATTTTAGCCTGCAGGTCCCTGTCCTCCACACGTTGGGAATATTCCTTTAATCCCACAAACCCCTCGGATTCCTCCCATTTCCTGATGAAGGAATCTTCAATCTCCAGCTGAGCTGCAAAAAAAAAAAAAAAAAATTGTCAATATTTCCATTTATTTCAAGGTTTAATTCATGTTTTTTTTCCACTCTGAGGTTTTTATTTCCCAAAAGTTGGGGGTGATGTTGGTGTCATGAATTATTTGTGGATTTTTTTGTGTTTTTAAAAGTGTGATTTTTTTTTTTATCAGGAATTTTATCCAGGATATTATTTATACTTCTGTATTTGTTTTATATATATTTCTATATATTTTATATAATTATATATAAATACAAAACATATTATAATATATGATTATATGAATAATTAATACATAATATATAAAATATGTAATATATAGCCTATAACATAATAGCTAATATCTAATATTTAATATCTATTATATAATACATTATAAATAATATATAATATATAATACATAATAAACATATAATATATAACATAATATATAAAATATATTAAAATTACAATATATAAATGTATATATTTATATATAATCTAATTACATAAACATTTTTCTATAATGTAATATATAAAAATTAAATAATTATATTAAAAATAGATACAAAATAAATACAGGTATATGAAAATACATTAGATATAATTATATATGTAAAATATGTATTTTGTATAATTTTCTATTTATATAGATTTCGTTTATTTTATTTGAAAGGAAAGGCTGAATTTCATCTGGAATTTTATTCTGAATTTTAGTCTGTATTTTAAAGGAAATCCTGAATTTTTAACCATATTTTAAAGGAAATCTTGAACTTTATTCTGAATTTTATTCCATACTTCAAAGGAAACTCTGAATTTTTATCCTGATTTTTATTCCATATTTCTAAAGGAATTACTGAATTTTATCTGGAATTTTATTCCATATTTCAAAGGAAACTCTGAATTTTATTCCGTATTTTAAAGGAAATCCTGAATTTTATTTCATAGTTTCAAGGAGATCCTGAGTTTTATTCTGAATTTTGTCTGGAATTTTATTCCATATTCCAAAGGAAATCCTGATTTTTTTTATCCTGAATTTTATTGCACATTTTAAAGGAAATCCTGAATTTCATCTGGAATTTTATTCTGAATTTTATTCCATATTTGAAAGGAAATTTTTTAAAAAAGGAGCTTCATACCCAAAACAATCCAATAAAAGCTGAAGAGAAATTTAAAAATTAATTAAGAAATATAAAATTAACCACCCAAAAGGGTTTTGATTTCCAGTGAAACCTAAAAATTCCTGGATAAAAAGAAGGACAAAGGAATACTCACAATTTTTCCTGACCTCTGCAGGTTGGCTCAGTTTCCAAATGTCATAAATTCTGCTCAGGCCAAATCTGCCCAGTCCCTGAAATATAGAAAAATGTATTTTAATAATAAATTAAATTAAATGGAATTGAATTCGATTCAATAAAAATAGAAATAAAAAAAAAAAATTTAAAATTATCCTAAAAATGGGGTGAGGCCTGGTCAGATTGGAGAATAACGGCATCCCTGCCCCAAAAAATTCCTGTTTTTTCCACAAAATTCCTGCTTTTTTCTGGAATATTCATTTAAAACCTTGGAACAACTTGTTCCATCCCTTATTCCCTCTCCCATCCCTCATAAAAATGGAACGAATTATCCTAAAAATGGGAGAAATTGTCTTAAAAATGGGATGAGGCCTGCACGCCTTGGAGTATAACAGCATCCATGGGGATAAAAATTTCCTGTTTTTTTTCCTCAAAATTCCTGGTTTTTCCTGGAATATTCATTTAAAACTTGGAACAACTTGTTCCATCCCCATAAAAATGGGACAAATTATCCTAAAAATGGGAGAAATTATCTTAAAAATGGGATGAGGCCTACACAGGTTGGATCATAAAGACATCCCTGGGCATAAAAAATTCCTGTTTTTTCCTAAAAATTCCTGTTTTTTTCTGGAATATTCATTTAAAACTTGGAACAACTTGTTCCATCCCTCTTTCCCTGCTCCATCCCTCATAAAAATGGGACAAATTATCCTAAAAATGAGAAAAATTATCCTAAAAATGGGATGAGGCCTGCACGGGTTGGATCATAATGACATCCCTGGGCATAAAAAATCTTGTTTTTTCCTGAAAATTCCTGCTTTTTCATGGAATGTAATTTATTTTTTTTCTGGAATATTAATTTAAATCTTTATTCCAACTGTCCATCCCTCATTCTCTGCCCCATCCCTGATAAAAATGGAACAAATTATCCTAAAAATGGGATGAGGCCTACACGGGTTGGATCATAATGACATCCCTGGGCATAAAAAAATTCCTGTTTTTTTTCCTAAAAATTCCATTTTTTCTTGGAATGTCCATTGAAATCCCTGGAATTGGGACTGGAAGTGGAGTGGCCCTCACCCCAATGATGTGGATGTGGGCAGGGGGGTCCCTTGCAGAGAGCTCCACG